ACGTGAGAAACTGTTTCGATGGCATCTTGACCGCAGGGGCATCGTCTGAGATTAAGTGGGACTCTATGGTATCTACCAAGTAGAATAGCCGACGGTAGTATGTTGAATCTTGCCAGCATAAATGCTCTTCTGTAGTGGGCGTCAGTTAGAAAGGAGAAATAGGGAGCTAAGAGCCCTGGCTTCAGGGGTAGGCCCAAATGACTAGGGGAACAAGTTTTCCGAGCTGCCTCGGTCAGATGTTGGAATTGGATGTCTAACAGTCTGCGTTTGATTGATCGAAACACTACTTCATTTAATACACATACTGCATGACTCAGCATTTTGCATACCTGTCAAATGTGGCTGCTGATTATCATAGGCCTTGTTCTACCTCAGTGTGGAAATTATCTTTGACAGTTTGATACTTCATTCTTTGGCCAGCAAGTAAAAAAGAGGATTTGGAAATGCATACCTTGTTCCCTTCAGATTAGGGTTTATTAGTTTCTGCTCCAGATACTGGGATGAAGAAGTTGTGTGACATTAATTCCAAGCCTTAGGAACAGAGAAGACGTGCAAAGTCAAGTTTAAGACAAGTATGAAAAATTAGGTGCTCCTCTTCCGGCAATGCTTCAGTGAAACTAACATTACTGAACTTGTATTTTCTGGTGTTTGGGAAGCTGTATCTTTGGTGATGGCTTTTCCTTTTCATTTGGAAGCTCTGCTTCTTTGGGGCCGCCCCTCTGCTCCTTTCCCCCTTCTCATGGTTATTGGTGACCTTCTCTTTTTATCTGCTTGGCCTTTGCCTCTGTTATGATCCTGCAGCTGTAAATGACTTCCTTTTGCCAATTCCTCCAACACCTTTAAATTTGGTTTCTTCCAAATTAAAGCAGAGAAGACAGTTTTAGATTAGGTCCTTACATTTATATGGTATATGGCACAGGATGATGGCCTTTTGACTGAAAGCAGTGTTCTATTGTTTTCCCTCTCTCGTTCTCCTTTTTGAAGGAACTGGTAACAAATACACATATTGACCATGCTGACCGAAAGCCCCTGTTCACAACGTAATAGTGCTTTGAATCACTGGAGCTGCTACTCCCCTCTGACATTCATCTCATAAAAGCCCAAGAAAGCTGACGGAGGGAGTGCTGCGGGAAAGTAAATCTTTAAAAGATTTAATTCTGCAAAATGACAACTTCTTCTTGTGCCAACCTTAGGAAGAAGGTTTAACCGACTCAGCAGTTTGTATAGCCATATTCTTTATAAATAGTTTCTGATTATGTTTGCTGTTCAAGGTTTCCTTTTGGGACTTGTATAAAGTGTCTTGACTGCTGTACAGCTGAGCAAAGTGTATGATATTCGCAATTCCTTTCCTATGGGTACACTCCCCTCACCCCATTGTCATCAATATAGGATTTGCACAGAATTGCTTTTTAGACTTCAGCCTGCCATGGAGTTTTACCTGCAGGTAAGCAGTTGGTGCTTCCAACAAAATGTGGTTTCCAAAATTCTGATTTTATTTTCAACTCTTAAAAAAAGAGAAAGAAAGAAAGAAAGAAAAGAAAAAGAAAAAGCCTTTAAATGACCCAAGTCTATGTCACAGAGTGCCTGTTTTTTTCCCCATGTCTTCTATTCACTTTCATCATCTTTGGTTTCCTTCTGAGCCATTATTTGCTGCTCTGTGTAGAGTAGTCTTAATCATAATTTGCAAATGGTTGTTCTGGGTTTTTCAGGCTCTTTGGCCGTGTTCTGAAGGTTGTTCTTCCTGTCGTTTCACCAGTCTCTGTGGCCGGCATCTTCAGAGGACAGCACTCTGTGCTCTGGTGTAGTTGGCTTGGGAGTGCAGTATTTATGGCTGTGAGATAGGCTTTTGTCTTTTTCTGTAGATGGGTGATTAATGTGTATTGTTGTGGGTGTATTGTTGTGCTAAGGGGTAGAGATTATCTGTTCCTGTGGTTGATGGGTGTCATTAGCTGGTCATTTATGTGTAGTGATCCCCTGTCCTTGTGGGTGGGTAGAGTTCGTTGACCTTTTGCACGAAGTATGTTTGATAGCTGGGAGCCAAGTTTTGTTGAGCTTCATGCTTTCCTCCTTTTTGTTGAAACTGTGCTTGTGCTTGTGGATTTCAATGGCTTCCCTGTGCAGTCTGACGTAATGATTGCTGCTGTTGTCCAGTATTTCAGTATTTTGAAATAGAATTTCATGTCCAGTTTGTTTCAGGGCATGTTCAGCTACTGCAGATTTTTCTGGTTGTTTTAGTCTGCAGTGTCTCTCATGTTCTTTGATTCTGGTGTGGATGCTTCATTTTGTGGTTCCAATATATACCTGGCCATAACTGCAAGGTATCCGGTATCCTCCTGCAGTGGTGAGGGGGTCCCTTCTGTCCTTTGCTGACCGTAACATTTGTTGTATTTTTGTGGTGGGCTGGAATACTGTTTGTAGGTTGTGTTTTTTCAAAAGTTTCCCCATGCGGTCCGTGACCCCTTTGATGTATGGCAGAAATACTTTATTTGTGGGTGGCTGTTTTTCTTCTTCAGTTCCGTGTTGTTTTCTAGGGTTGATGGCTCTTGTGATTTCATTTTTGGAGTAGCCATTTGCCTGTAGGGCGCAATTCAGATGGTTGAGTTCAGTGCTGAGAAACTGAGCTTCACAGTTCCAATTTGCCCGGTCTACCAATGTTTTGATTATGCCTCTTTTTTGCTCTGGGTGGTGGTTGGAGTTGCTGTGCTTCAGTGTCCTGAAGCAGTCTTAATCATTACTGAGAGCAACTCTTTGTCTGACAAGATCAGCAGAGGCATTCCAGTCAACACCACCAAGGTGTTGGAATTCGAAACCCACCATTTTGATTTGAGTTTGTAGCCCTCGTTTTGATACTCAGTTTCAACAAAGGAATCTGGCATAGACCTGCCCAGCCCAGTGAAGACTTGTACAGCAGGGGTCCCCAACCCCCGGTCTGTGGCCCAGTGCTTGTCCATGGCCTGGGCCAGACCGGGTCACAGAGACAGATGTCCCACCCACCCCTGCATGCACCCCCCACTGCACAGCCCCAATGCACATGCGCTCAAGCGCCCCCTGAGCGCCCCCTGCCCTTCGCGCATGCGTTCATGTGCACACCCCCGCACAAGTGCCCCTGCCCACGCAAACACGCTCCCACCCCTTCACGCATGTGCACGAGCCCGGGGTGTGCCCCGCTGTCCCCAAAGGTGGGGAACCACTGGGGGCTACTGAAAGCTAGTTTCCGTTCATGATTTTTAAGTGGACTAATAAAGGTATCATCCACCCTTGCCTGTGAGTTGTGTACAAGGATCACACAATTTTTCCCCTTCATTTTCTTCTTTGTTGGCAGCAGATAATAGCCAAAAAGCACAAAGTACCAAAAGCAAAACTGGATTTTGACAGTTAGCCAGCATGGCTGGATAACAGCTGGATTAATAACCAATACCTTGCCAGTTGATGTTAAAGTTTTTGGTGCTATTGTATGGCACATGAGATATGAGTTCTACTTTTCAGAGAAATCTGCATCAATTCAGTATTATCCTCTGTGTTATTACTGTACTTGATTACATTTTTAAGCCAGTGTATAATACAGTGCTCATGCATGGACTGTAATTGGTATGCTGTCAACTTGCTCCTGAATAAGAAGGGTGATCATGAGTCTCAGATGTAGCCTTAATGTCATAAAGGATGGTTCAAAAAAGGGGCGTTTGCTGAGGTGACAGTGGGCCATCTTTATAATTTCTACTTTTAAATAAGAAAATCCTCCAGTCTTCTGTGTCATTCCATTTCAGAAAAACGGTTAGAGCTCACCACTTGAACATACACTATGGATAAACTTTGTTTGTTTGTTTATTCATTTCATTTCATTTCTATCCCACCTTTCTACTTAAGAAGGACCCAAGGCAGCTTACCTCATTCAAAGATAGTAAAGCAAAAACCAGTAAGTATGCAAATACTAAAAAGGATGAAACAAATACATACCACAGTTCAAAGTAGTAAACAGAAGCAACATCAAAAGACATTCAGTGCAGTAAGGCACAAGCATCCATATAAGCACCCCAGTCAGGTAGCCAGTAGCTTGCTTGAAGAGAAAGTCTTTGCCTGCTTGAAGAAAAAGGGCAAAATTGGGGCAAACTGGGCCTCCTGTGGGAGGGAGTTCCAAGGTCTGGGGACAGCAACTGAAAAGACCCTCTCCCATGTCCCCAACAAACGCATCTGTAAAGGTGGTGGGACTGAGAGAAAGGCCTCCCCGATGATCACAATACCTGGACAGGCTCATAAAGGGGGACATGGTCTTTGAGAACACTTGGACCCAAGCCATTTAAAACCTGGTTAAACCTGGTTATAGGTTAAAACCTATCACAGTGGAGCTACTGTAACAGGAGGGTTATATGATCCTTGTAATCAGCCCCATTTAACAATCTGGCTGCTGTGCTTTGGATCTGTTGAAGATTCCGAACACTTTCCAAAGACAGCTCCACGAAGAGTGCATTAGAATAATCCAGCCGGGATGTAACTGAGGCATGTGACACCGTGGCCAGATCAAACATGTCCAGTAATGGGTGCAGACTAAGGCATGTGTCACCGTGGCCAGATCACACATGTCCAGCAATGGGTGCAGGCTGGCACAATAATTTTAACTGTGTAAATGTATTCCTGACCGCAAGTGAAACCAAGGCATCCAGGCTCAGAGAAAAATTCAGGAGCACCCCCAAACCTGTGTCTTCAGAGGGAGTGGAACCCCATCCAGCACAAGCTGGATCTCTGTTCCTTGAGCTGCCTTTCGATTGACTAGGGACACCTTTTTCTTGTCAGGATTAAGTTTCAGTTTATTCACCCTCATCCAGTCAGTTACTGACACCAGTCAGTTTTCTAGGCAAGGAGAGCTTGTCCCAGGGGCACAAGAGCAGCCTCAGTCCTCAGTCCTCAGTAATCAAATATTGCTCCCTTCCCATAAGGAGCCATAGACTAGAGTATAGTAGTATGTCATGCATTCAGTATTTGCAAGAGAGAGTACAAGAGTGCAAATGTTTGGGACTGTTAACATTTGTTTCCAGCGGGACCTTGGAAAGAAAACACAAAGGAGCCTGCCGAGAACAGGCATTCATCATGTTGAGACAGAATCTGGAATAGCACCTCATTCATGGACTTGCAGTTGTCAAGGTTACTTTGCTTTATTTTTAAAATATAGGTTTAAAGTAATTGAATGAGGAGGGTTATCTTATTTTGAAATGTTTTAAATATTGACATCAAAGGCCATCCTATTTCAAAAGCATTTGGGTGGCCTACTGCTCTTTTTTAAAAAATTGAATGGCCATAAAACAGGTGTAATTTGCAGATAAGGACCTTATCAATCAGAGCTACTCTGCCAGTGCCCTCCCTTCTGCTTTTATGAAGGGCATGTTTGGCTTACTCCAGCTGAAATGTTTGCTTCCAGTTGTGACCGAGACCCATTTCATAAGAAGCATTCTAGCACTAACGTTTTCTTTGTCATAAAGAGCTCAAATCACATCTCCTGGTGATAAATTTCTGATGTTAATGTTTCCAGTTGTTACTGTGGTCTTTATGTGCTTTCCTTAGTATGGCATGCAAGCATCATATTGCTCAGATTATACAGTGAGTGTTGCTCCCTCATGGGAGGCAAATGTTTTAGAAATTATGATGAGAGTTTGGGGAAGTTTTTTTTTTTTTTTTGTTGAAGCATAACTCCCAAACCTGGGAACTTTTTTTTTTTTTTTTTTTTTTGGAAGCATAACTCCCAAACCTGGGAACCGCAGTCCAAAAAAAGTAACTTTTCCAAGCTCTTACTGTAATTCAGCAACCAGTTTTCTGTTACGTAGTTCTGCCTGTACAAAAGGATAAATGGCTGTGATAAATGACAACTAATTAAAGAGTTAATTTTTTAAATTTGGTATACATGCAGCTTTGTATCATTGTGCACGAATTGTGTGTGCCCCAAAACTGCAAAAGAAACGTTGTAATCAATAGCAATCTGCCATGACTGGTGACATCAGTCCCAATTGGCAGGCACAGCTATGCATCAGGATACTGTATATTGCCATGTAGTCAAGCAAGCTTGGTTATGGGACTTCCTGGAAGGCAGCTGACATCTGCCTGGTATCCTCAAAGTGACAGTGGGAGAAGTAGTGCTTTCTTGTTTTCTGAGTAAGAAGACTGATAGTTCCTTTTTAACTGTGATCCTATGTCAGTTTAATTGCACAGTAGCGCTGCATGATGATCCTTTTGTCTTGAGCCTCTTCTGGCTGTGCAGTTGGGCAGTCTGTGTCAGAATGGCAAGTAGATGGACTGTGCAGCCCAAATCAGGTATTATCTGCCTATGCTCAGTTACTGGCAATTTATTATTTCCATGTTGTGTGTTGACCTTTGTTCTGCCCTATTTACTTATTTATGTGCAGTTGGATGTAAATGGAAGAACATGGATCTAGTTCCTTGGCAAAAGGGATTTTATTTTGATTTTTTGCCGTGTATTTTTGCATAGAGTTTGGCAAAGTTCTGCAAAGGAAAGTGAAAGAATAAAGAAAACTATTTTCAGTGAGGGATAATTGGGTGTAAAAGGCATCCGGCCATTTCATCTAACTGTCATTTCCCCCTATAATTCAAGCTTTGGAAAGGTTTTTCTTCTTGCACACTCAGGATTTTGAAGGGCTTTTCTTTTTAACCAGGGAATCAGTGTTGTATATATATTTTGGCAACTGTTCCTTTGTAGAAGTGCTTTGAACAGTGGTCCTTTGGTGCAAGGCATGGTATCTCTTAGACTAGGATTGGGCATCATCCAGAGGTCAAAGGGCCATGCACAAGTTCTTGGACTTTTGAGGTTTGCACCTGATCCTGCACTTCTCCCATGTTTTCTTACAAAATTGGTGGTTGCAATTTTGTACCTTCTGGTGGCCGTCTAAAATATTGTATGTACCTAAATGTAAATATAAAATACTTTGTGGTTCTGGGGGCTGGGGGGTTATTTAAAACACAGCAGAATTTCACCCAAAATCTTTAGGAGCTCAGAGGGGACTTTCCGAGTCCATATTTTTCCAAAGTAATTTTAGAAAATAGGGTATGTGTATCTCCTAGGGCCTCCAAAGTGTTGCAGGCTGAACATATCCCACTTTTCATAAGATCAAAGGGTGTGGGAAGTGCACAAGATGGCCTTCCTGGAACTGCTGTCCTAGGATATAAATTAGATAGCAGCCTCTGTCTGTCTGTCTGTCTTTCTCTCTCTCTCTTTGTAAGAGTTTATGCAGTCTCTAGGATAAGAGCTAAACATTCAATGCAGTATACACTATAAGAATAATTTACAAACAGAAGTATTTAAGCAGGATGTAAAATATATGTACCTATATCTTTTCTCTTGACAAACCGATGTTTACAATAATAGGCTGGTCCAACATGATTGTTTTCAAATGGCTCTGAAATTTGCTTTCTTCTCATGTTGCCTCTGATTCTAACACTGATATATAGAAAAGTACACTCAGGATGGAGAATAAATACAGCCAGCTCATTCTTCCATTGCCTCAAAAACTAATTTTGTTTGGTCATAAAATCACTGAGAGCAAGAGTGATCTGTACTAGTTCAACTGCATCAGTATTTTTGAAGTGGAATGTTGTTATTGGTTTCTTTGAAATGTAGTAGGTGAAGCTGGACCCCCTGAACAGGCAAGTTTAGTACAGTGGTGCCTCCCATTATGATGTTAATTCGTTCCAGCAAAATCGCTGTAGAACGAAAACGTAATGCGAAAATAAAAAGGCCATTTAAACGCATTGAAACCCCTTCAATGTGTTCCAATGGGCTGGAAACTCACCATCCAGCAAAGATCCTCCATAGGGCGGCCATTTTCGGTTGCTGTCTTGCGAGGAACCCATCCCAGAAAACAGCGGGGAGCCATTTTATTTACCCAGCGGCCATTTTCAAAGTGCTGATCAGCTGTTGGAAAATTGTTATTTTGCGAGGAATTGGTTCCCAAAGCAGGGAATCGATCATCATAAAGGGAAAAAACCCTATTCAGACCATCGTTTTCCTATCGCAAAGTGATCACAAAAACATTGTCGTAATGCAGTTTCATCGTAATGCGGGGCAATCGTAAAGCGAGGCACCACTGTATTACGTATTCTGCAGTATATGGAAACTGACATGATGGCGCTGCGGGTTAAACCGCAGAAGCTTCTGTGCTGCAAGGTCAGAAGACCAGCAGTCGTAAGATCGAATCCACGTGACGGAGTGAGCTCCTGTCGCTTGTCCCAGCTCCTGCCAACCTAGCAGTTCGAAAGTATGTAAAATGTGAGTAGATAAATAGGTACTACCTCAGTGGGAATGTAATGGCGTTCTGTGTCTAGTCGCGCTGGCCAGGTGACCATGGAAACTGTCTTTGGACAAACGCTGGCTCTACGGCTTCGAAATGGGGCTGAGCACCACGCCCTAGTCGGACACGACTGGACTAAATGTCAAGGGGAACCTTTACCTTTTTATATGGAAACTAAATTGTCTTGCAATAGCTAACAAATTAAACACAAGCATATGTTTACAGTTGTCCTGAACTTCTATTAATGGCTTGTTTCAACTGTTTCCCATGTGATTAGCATTCTCCTTCATTCTGGTCTTACTGCTGCCACTCGTAGTTGCTCATGCTGGGGAAAACCTGTAACGTATCCTTCTAGCATATATTCTGCAGAGGATATGAACATGGGACCAATAGGAACACCCACAAACTCTGTCTCCGCACCATTGAAGCAAGTTAATGGGAGCAACATATTTGCAATCTATCTGGGGAACCTCAGATGACACCATACTGAGCCTTTTCTAGGGAAAGAGGCTTGATGTCTCCCTGAATACAACAGAAAAGTGAAAGTCATTGTCAAGATTGTAATTAGGGTGGAGCACAAAAATTTAAAGAGCACTGAAGTCTAGAGGTGAATCTACTTTTTTTAAAAAAGCGTAAATTTTCTTTTAGAGAGAGATCATCTTCTCCTTGTCCTTTTCCATGTCAGCTCCCACCCATGCCTCACAGAGAAACAAATGGGAGGCCTTTTGCCTCAGGTGCTGAAATAGCTAGTTATTATAGTTATAGTTAGAATTCTTCATTATTATACTGTAATTTGTTCCGGGGCTGGGGGAGAAAGTCAACATAGGAAGCACACCCCTTTTGTATACATATCTATTTGTGCAAATAACTATGTGTGCTGCTGAGGAGCTGAGGTACAAGATTTGATAATAAAAGTTCTTTATAGTAGATTTCAATTTACACATTTTTAGGACAGTTCTGCTCCCACCCTTATTTTTTTGTTCCAAGTCTCTTGTTCTTCCAGATTTTGGCCTCTGCTGGTTTTGTTAAAGAATCTATCTGTATCTCCGGACAGAAGCTTCTTGCCGTGGCTCTGATAACCCAAATGGTTGGGTGTATTTTTTTTAATTGAGGAAAATTATGGGGATTATAAGAGATCTTGTTTGTTTGACAACCTTGTTGAACAAAACATCAGGACATTGAATCATGGGGTGAGGCTGTGTGGAGCTGAGAAGACAGCTGTGTGGGGCAGGTTAAGTTCTGATAAGCCTCTGTCAGAACCCTGTTTTGCCCTGGTTGATAGGATATAAATTTTAGAATTAACAAATCAAATTTCATGGTGGCATAGCCTGGGTATGCTGTGGGATACTGCTATTATACTGTCATGTCTTAAACAGACTCCCCCCATTCCCCGGTAATCAGAGCCAGGGATTACATGGTGTGCTGTCTTAGATGCTTCATCCTGGCTGGCTGCATTTAAAAATTACAGTGCTAGCTTCAAGCCAAAGCATCTTTTTGCAAGGCTGGCTCAAAGGTATGACTGGGGGGGGGAGGCGAAGGGGACATAAATGAAAAGATAAAACATTCTACTCTGTGAAGTCTGTGTTGTAGCAGACATGAACGTGTGTAGCTCAAGGAAAGGAAGGAAGGAGATAGCAGTGAGGGAGATCATTCTTGAGTTTTATCTGTCTCATGTTTCATTCTCTCATTAGATTTCCTTCAAAAGATTAATGTTCACTGTATACTCCCCATGACCTTTTTTTCCCTGCCAGCAACTGCAACTACTGACTTCTTTTTTAGCAGATAGATCTCCCATTGTGTTGTCCTTATTACATCCAGTATTTTTTTTTACTTGCACTTGTGAAGGCC